CCTTTATTAATATTCATGATATTCAAAATAATTTGAAATGATTTGCTGTACTACTATAGGTCGGATTGTAAACATAGCTGTTATATTGATAAATATATCAACAAACAAGTCATTCCATATTTATATCAGTATTTTAGGTTTCACAAAGGGCGATTATCATTTGACTTGCATCTCTTAATGCCTAAAAGATACTTATGCACTAGCAGGTAAGACTGTTTTGCCTGACCGCCTGGTAAAGTATTTTATTTCTGGTTTTTTTTTTCACAAAATTGGTGTATTTGCATATAAATTTCAATTAGAATAATTGTAATACTTTGTAATAATTGTAATAATTGAGTGGGGGGAAAGGGATTGTTAGTAATGGAGACTAAAAATCCCATTGCTAGCAATATACCCAACCAGGTCGTCCTCCTCGTGGTTCCCCCTGGAAAGTATCATGGTTAATTCCTGATGAATTCATCATGATGGGCTAACTGTCCTGTTTTCATTCTCATCTATCACCCTTCAGTGGTGCTCCGCCAGCGTATCCCGTTGGCGCAGGCGGGGTTACCATTCCATTTTCATCCACAAAAAAAATACATTGAGTGATCGTTGCGTTTGAACGCTATCATTTCTTTATACTGTGCTTTCACCATTCTTTCTTTAAACAATATCTCCAGATGCCATCACTTGTTAAATTAAATCATAGACATATTAAGACAATATATTTTGTTGCTAGCAACACCAATAAGTGCCAATTAATCGCTAATATTAACATATTATACTCACTTTATATTCCTTTCCCATTTTAACATCACTTCCTATTTCTACTTTGCATGAAAGTGAAACTTCTTCAGCGTAATGTGATTTTCTAGTGGGCTCAGTATACTAGCCACTGAGGGCGACTTGGGCACAGGTCAGCTGCCGTTATCCATAAATCACTGGCCGACGAACGCCCGGTCATCCACGAGAATTTCAATAACTTGTGACATTCATGATTATTTAATACATAATTTCTTCTCTCTTATGAAATGCGTAATCACTTGAATAACTGCATACATGGATGTTGCACGTACCAAGATTTTAAATGCATTTATATATGCAAAAGAAGTATTAAACGTATTGATAACAGATAGAAATTAGAGACAAAAAACAGCTTTGTAACTGATATTAGGAGGGTGGGGGGCGGGAGAAGGGATAGTTAATAATGGAGATTAATAATCCCATTGCTAGCAATATACCATATTAGATCGACCTCCAGAGGGTGCCCATGGAAATTATTGTAATCGATTTATTGTTGATTTCTGAAAAAAACTGAATTTTAATAACTCAAATCATTAAAACTCTTACATGTATGTGCATATTCGATTGCATTGCTATTGTCCCGTCAGCTAATACCGACAGACGGGGGGGGGGAGGGATTGTAAGCAATGGAGTTTGACAGCCACATTGCTAGCAATATGCTCTATTAGGTCGACCTCCACATGGTTCCCGCTGGAAACCATCGTGAACAACTCTTGTTGAATTCGTCACGTAAGGCTAACTGATCTGCTTTCATTCTCACCTATCATCCTTCACTGGTGCCCCGCCGGTGTATACCAATAGCGCGGATGGGGTTACCATTCCATTATCACCCATTAAAAAAAATACCGACAGACGGGTTAACCACTCCATTATCATTCATAAAAAGTACCGGTGAGAATCGCAGCTTATAAGTATAATGGGCATAGATAATATTTTCATAATAAAAATATAGTTGTGAGTTATGCGATGCAAGTTTCACTCTCGCTGGTACCGCCACGCCGCCGCCGCGCCGCCGCGCCGCGCCGCGGGCGTGTCCAGCCCACGCAGTCACGGCCAAGGCGACCAAATCCTAATCGTATTGTTTGTATTATCAATAATAATAGAAACTTATGCACATACGTAATCGCACGTCTAAGAGAATGTTTATGCGTGCGACCCATGAAATTAGCAAGATGTTACAAGTTAGAAATCGGTTACATTTATATTGATATTCTTTTTTTTTTATACAATTTAGAATGGCAAACAAGCTGACGGCCCACCTGATGGAAAGATGGAAAGATATTCGTACGAAACGCGGTGAAATCGAAATTATTATCTTCTCTTTATGGAAGTATTAAGCATAAAAAACACCGGCCGTCTTTTTGTTAAAGAGATTTTTATGCCTTTGTTTGTTTAAAAAAAATCAATTTCAATTGTAGAATTATTTAGATAAATACTAAATATATGTAACCGGCGAGCGTGTATGAAAAGATTGATGAATTTGGAAGAAGCGAAAGAAATTTGTTCGAGTCTAAGCATTTGGCGTTCCATTGTTTCTGCCTACCCTGATGCGAGACAGGTGTGACAGATATGTATGTAATTATTTAGATTTCAACCTGTATATCGTCATAGTCGTAGAATACTGACAGATCTTTATATGTAATATTCGTCAGATCCGTCAGTATTCTACGACTATGACGATATGGGAGATTTTAAACTAATATAAGTAAATACCTAGTGAAAACGAATTTCAAACATAGCTCTTTTATAACATTTATATAGTGAGTTACTCTCTATATCCCTATTGTATATAAAACAAATCAAACAATAATATTTTATCGTTCCTTAGACGTCGACCCTGCGAGCGGTATTGGATGTCTTATCAAACAAACTGTCCGGCGCCGACTATTATCATCTCATTCTCTCACGACTCTTGTCCCGCGAATGTTTACTTCTTGTTATTTATGAGTTTCTGGTATATCGGCACATGAATAATATGTGACTACAATAAATATTACATAATATTAAATTCTCGTCATTAACCTACATTTGTAACGATGGTAACCGTAATGTTAAATGTTATACCATCAAAGGCACATTTATCATGTAATACATAGCATGGGACAATAAATCAAAGTATTAGTCAACAATGTACCTAATATGCCTCTTTGGTTTTAACAGCAAAACTAATTTGCATACATTTGAATGTTATCACAAGAAAGATTAGATACAAGAACTAGTTTCGAGCTCTTGTTTATGTAACTTTTAACTTATGTATGTGTAAAAAAAACTGGTGTCGTCACCAGCTTTATAGGGAAAGCTTAGGGATAAAATTTTAATTATTTTAACAAAAAGATTAAAGAACCGTATACATAATAAAAACACGTACAACCCGTCACAAACTAAAGTTTCATCCCAATCATCTGGACGAGTGGCGGTCTTCCACCGTGAGTTTTTCAAGGCACTTTCTTCCACGCACAACCATTCTTTGGAATCAACTTCCAGCAGTAGTATTTCCGAATCGATACGACAACATAACCTTCAAGAAAAGAGTATATTCCATTTTAAATGGCCGGCAGCACACCTGCAATGCCGCTGGTGTTGTGGGTGATCGTGGGCAGCGGCAGTCACTTACCATTAGGTGAGCCGCATGCTCGTTTGCCCCCTGTGTTGTGAAAAAAACGTAGATACCAATTACAGCTTTTTTTTAATGGGTGATAGCATAATAGTAACCCTGTCTGCGCTATCGGTATAGGCTGATGCACCAGTGAGGGATGATAGGTGAAAATGAAAAAGCAGGCCAGTTAGCCCATTGTGATGAATTCCACTAGAATTAACCACGATGATTTCCAGGGATCGACCTGATTGGATGCATTGCTGGCAATGGGCCAGTTAGACCCCATTACTAACAATTCCTACCAATTTCAGGTTGCAGCTTAACGTTCTCAATAAATAATCATAAATGCTATGATATTATTCCAATTATCTGAAATAATTGTTTAAATTCAAATATAATGGCAGTAAGGCATTATAGCAGGCAATATAATTTAGACGTTGCCAACTGTAACTTGAAGATTGTTTGTCAGTCCAATCATCAAAATCAGTAACTTTGTTTCTATTTTATCAAAAGGATCAGTGCATAATAATTTATCAGAAAATATAGAATGCAATTAATGATCTTCTAATGGAGAAAGCCACAGTTCTAGTTTGATTCGCATCTATTCTCTGGGTCAATGCACACAACGCATCAGTTACGATTCGCAAATATTTAGAAAGTTTTTTTTTTATACAACTTAGAATGGCGAACAAGCTAACGGCCCACCTGATGGAAAATGGCAACCGTCGCCTATAGACATGAGCAGTACCATGGACATAACAGAGTATACTGTTTCACCCATGATACCTCCCATGCGTTGCCATTCCTCAGGACTCAGGTGTTATCCCTGTGTACCCAGTAAATTCACGCAATTACACGCAAAACACACGCAATACCATCTGCCAAACTAACTGGCATGTTATAAATAAAATCTGACAATATTAACGCATGGTTGTATATACTATAATACATAAGCTCTTCTATGTACTTTCAAATAATACACAATGCTGTGACTTAAATGAAACCACAATTAAATTAAAACTCTTTATAGAGAGATTTATTAATACATAAAAATGTAATAATAATACCACCTTTACTATAATATAGGTTTAGGAAACTTTGAGATGATAAATGAGAACGAGGTCGGGTCGATTAGCCCATTGAGGGTCGTGACGAATGTACTAGAAATTAATCACGGTAGTAGAGTTGACCAGGGTGACACAGCACAGCACGGGTGCAAGTATAGACATATGTAAATAAATATAATACAGCCACGAGAAAGCGTAGAAGAATGTAAAGGTTAACTATTTACTACTAAGGTAAACATAACTGGAAGCAAATCCATGATCAAAAATATAGAAAAATTCGTTTCCGAGATATCTAACCATCAAGGTTGAATATAATAAGGGAGAGTCGAACTCAAATCACTATAGGCGAACATATTATTGATGAATGTGGAAGAAGTGAAAGAGGTTTGTTTGAATCGAAGCATTTGGCGTTCCATTGTTTCTGCCTACCCTAATAGGAGACAGGCGTGACAGATATGTATGTATTATATGCCTAGGGTAGTGTAAAAAGTTGCGATGGATTTGGTTATTGGTCTTTATTGTTGATGACTAAGAAAACTCTTCTCTTGTTTCAGTTCACCTCTGCCTGTAGAATGCTGGTCGCGCTGATGTTTTGAGAGCTGGTAAGTTCACTTCTAATCTACAATAGAACTTAGATCTAGTTAGAATCTTTTTAAACTTATAATTCACTAATAGATCGTCTAATTTGAGTTAGGTTATAAATCACATGTGTATGTCTTACCCTTCAAACACACTTAAATTTTACCAATTCGATATATAAGTTAACTATTCTGTGATTAAATGATATTTAATTATAAAATTTGTGATAGTTTATAATAATAAATAAATAAATAATCTTTATTTCACTCTATTTGTTACAATATAGTTTGAACACCAAAATGTAACTGCAATTTTTTTATTTTTATTTTATTATAAGGTATGAAAAACCTTTGTGTTTCACCAGTTACGATTGCCTGTTTTTTCCATATTTTTTTTTTGTGAAACAATATGAAACAGAGAAGTAACAAATACAAAAACAAAAATTATAGTTTATAGATTACTATGTATAAGATATTAAAAAAAAAATGACGATGAAATAAGGAGATAATAACAGTGCGTTATTATGTATGAATATCATGTCGCCGATATCCGATTAACGCCGATTGCTGTATCGATTATCAAGTGTTGGGAAAGTCGATCGCCACTCACCGCTCGTCTCACCACGTGTTCTCGTACCAATACCAATGATATAATATTATTCAAAAGAAATTTTTAGTCAAGTAAGCTTCAATTTCAGTCAGCAGTTTATGAGGGAGACCTATGTCCAGCAGTGGACTGTTAATGACTGTAATGATGAATGATGAAGCATAAATTTAAGTGTTTTTAACTAGTTGTTTATCTAAGGTTCTACTACCCATTCGAAATGCAATTACAGCCAAAAGGAAAAACCAGGAAGCACAGATGTTGCGTGAATTTACTGGGTACAGAGGAGTAACACCTGAGTCCTCAGGAATGGCAATGCATGGGGGGTATCATAGACGAATCAGTATACTCTGTTATGTCCATGGTACTGCTCATGTCTATTGGCGACGGTTACCAATTTTCATCAGGTGGGCCGTCAGCTTGCTTGCCATTCTAAGTTGTATAAAAAAAAATTTTACTTTTTCAAAGTTTGATTCATCAAACGATTTTAGGACTATGATCCATTTAGGTTGTTGCGTACTCTTTGATACTTTTGGTTATATTTATTGCTGCAACATGAGATCACAAAGATGGACAGCAGGTCCATGAATTCAATAACGCATTCAGGCCACACTGCAAGCGTTGCTGCACACAGAGCGTAGTATTGCGTTATATGCCGTTTAAAGTACGACTTTTCTGCAAATCCTCGGATTATCTTGCTTTGGTGAACGATCTTCAGTCGGAAATAATAACGTATGCATAGTTAAATCAGTGAAAGACTAGACATAAGGCAGTGGTAGACATTTATCCTGGCGAATGGTATAAAACTCTACCACTATCTTAATTGGGCTCGCCCATAAATAAACTTTTTACGCGATTAAACTGCTGGAATTTTTAAAGGGCACTAGCCAATTTTTTCGAACATTCTCCACGTATTTACAGCAATATTTATTTAGCTTGTACCGATTAATCGACTACCTTATATCGCGAAACTCGATTGCAGCCCACCATCGATGAGAGGTGTTTATTTTTCACAACAGTTTTTTTTTTATTTGCCAAATAATAACAGTAATTAAAAGATCACTTGTGATGTGCGTGCAATTAACAGGCGGCCAAGCGTTCCAATTGGTGTCCGCAGTAGGTGATCGGTAAGCTAGGGTTGTCTATATTTAGTTATTTTATATTTCTTGTTAAAATTATTGAATGCCCAATATAAACTCTTTTTATAGTAATATTTTTCTTTAAGACAAATATCACTATTTTATTTTGTTTATAATTTATTTTATTCAATTCAATTCAATTTTTGCATTCTATAATATTTTATAATTTATTAACTCTATTGAAGCTTAAATTGTCATATAGGATTTCATCTTTACTAATCCAAATTAATTTAATTATTTTAAAAGTTATTATTAAAAAGTTGTTATTAGTTAAAACACTTATTGTTACTATTGAAAACTTGTCAAAATGTATTTAGGTTTGATACCATTAATATAAATTTTTCGAAAGAAACTCTTTCATTATGGTAAATATAGCATGACAATTGGAAAAAGTAAGTTGCAATTAGACGATGAATACATTTAAAAGGGGGAAGGGGATTGTTAGTAATGGGGTCAAATAGCCCTATAAATATATAGCCCTAGTAATATACCCTGTCAGGTCGACCTCCAAGTGGTTCCCCCTGGAAACCATCGTGACTAATTCTAATTTAATTTGTCAGGATGGGCTAACTGACCTACTTTCATCTTCATCTGTCATCCCTCACTGGTGCCCCGCCAGCGTATACCAATAGCGCAGACGGGGTTACCATACCATTATCACCCATTAAAAAAAATACATTTAAAATTTATCACCTGTGGCAACCCTAATTTATTGTTTGTATAATGCACAACTGCACTGCACATATTATAACTGGTGGTCGTTAAGTGGTAACAGGGTAACTGAGGACCACCGTGTAGAGACATTATGATTTTTGCCTGCATTATGGAACTTTGCTGCTTCGTAGTGAAACAGCGCATTGGAATTTTATTTATTCGACTAAAAAATTTTAGGTATTTAGTAAGTAATCGTAATAGGTAGTCACAAAAATCATTAACCGAATTTAAAAAATGAGGTACTTAATTATAGTGTTCCGTTTTATAAACATTTATTGTAAATTAATTTTAGTAATTATATATATTTATTAAACAAGTTTTTGTTACATTTTTCGGTCGTTTGTTAACTATTAAAATCAATACAATAAACTAAAAAAAAAATGTTCTTCTCTTTCCATTTAAACCATATATACTATTAAACCATCGTGGTTATCCATCACTGGTGCCACGCCAATGTATACCACAGATGGGGTTATCATCCCATTTTTATCTCTAAAAAAACTGGGGAAAGGGATTTTTAGTAATGGGGAGGTTATTCTCCATTGCTATCAGGTCGACCTCCACGCGGTTCCTCCTGGAAACTATTATGACTATCATTGAATTCGTCACGATGGGCTAATTGACCTGTCTTTTCATCCTTGCCTATCATCTCTCACCTGTACCCCGCCAGTGTCACCGATTGCGCAGGCGGGGTACAATGCCATTTTCAATTATTAAAAAAAAATCTCTAAAAAACTGACAGAAATATTTTTAACAGTTTTAATTAATATTAACGATGTTGTTTTATAAAAGATGGCAATAGTAACAGTAAGTCGCGTGTACGTTAGTCATCATGCCATACAAGGGTCTCTTGTGTAACTAACCTAACCTAATTCGACGTGAGAATGGGATCATATTACGGGACTGTAACTCTTTACAGAGACACAATACGGTTTACAATCGTAGCACTAATTTTCGATAGCTTTCTACACGCGCCCTGAATATTGGTCCATAGATTATAAAGTTTATCCGCTTACCAGCGCCGGCAGCCAGCGAAATGGCCGCGCCATTTAAAGAATGTTTTGGTTTCTGCATTGACTATGAATGATTGCAAGGTCGAATACAATAGGCATGGCTAGTATTTTCAGTATTCAATGGAAGTATGGAAAACAAGTGTGTGGTCCCGGTATGCCATATAGGCCACCCCTTCCTTTCCCGTGGGTATCGTAGGACGCGACTAATGAAGGCCAAGGGATGGGTAGCAGCGTCCTTTTTAAAATATCTCTAAATCCTAATTGCGGTTGCCAATTTGCCTGTTAAGCGTAGGAACTATTGGCAAAACCCAAGGGGAGGCTGATGTCCAACAGTGAACCGTTAAAGGCTGATAGGATGACGTTGGGAAACAAGCAGTCGTTTGACAAAACTCAATAATTGCAATGCAATTTGGGTATAAATTCGACTGACACATTTTGTCAATCGCATTTATACCCAAACTTGGAAACTATTTTACGAGTACATATGGATTATTACATTTAAACCATATCAATGTACCACAAATATACGTTAAAATTGCTTTTCTTTTCTTGCCACTTTGTCCGCCTGATTGGAAATATCTTGGCTGATTTAGTTAGGACGAAAAGAAACCTTGTCTTTCTCCATCCCAAAATTATATTTCTATTCAGATGTTGAAATATTAAAGCATTAAGTGGTAATATACACATATTTAGGTACATCCTTATTAATATTACAAATGTGAAAATAATTTTGTTTTGTTTGTTACCTCTTACCGTCTTAACAGCTTAACTAATCATTATGAAATTTTGTATACCCATATTATATATTTATTTATAATTTAAAATAATTACATTACAATTTCTATTATTTATATTATGTTATTATTCATATTGTTAATGTTTTTACTTATTTAATGACATTTAATAATTTAATTCTATTTTAATGTTTATCAAATACAAGGCATGCTGTGGTCGCCTATAAATGTAAGAACAGTTAGATCTAATCTACCAGTGTATTGTATTGAAATGTTTAGCTGTATCTTATGTTGGTAATCCTATAAATAAATAAATATGGGATGGCGAAGGATATAAGCTACTTTATACTCCAGTCACTTAACATATACCGATAACAAGAACGAAGTCGCGGGTCTAAGCTAGTTTATAATAATAGTGCGGATTTTATAATATTTAATTTAAAAACGTAGCTAATTTTATGTCATAAAAAACTAAATACGATGTATGTAACCAAACCACTAATGCATATAACCACAGGTGATATAACAGTTACTCATTACGGGCTGTCGTCGTCGGATACGTACCTGCGTCACAAACTCGCGCTAGCACTTGCTCGGGTGGATCAAAACATTAGCGCGTGAGGTAGGCTCGTGTTCCGTAGAACCAGTGAGGCGCTGTTGGTTTCATATTGATCCTTGTCATATTACATATGAAATAGATTCTAAATTTAGAATCTATATCATTATTCGCCTTTTCTTTGCCTCTTTTTTCCTTTTTTTTTGTCTTATTTATTAATTTACGAATCAAAACATAAAAAAATAAATGTTGCAGTGTTGTTAT